ATGTTATATGTAACATGTATTTATGTATTTCTTTAATCTGGATTCTGTATAGTAGAGAAAACAGGCAATATACACCTTTCTGAGTTTGGCCTATTTAGCTTAACATGATGGTCTCCAGTTCCATCCACTAGCCTCAAATGACATAATCCACATGACAGACATCTTGGCTGATTCCATATCAAACATGGATAAGAAGGTAGAATAAAGGTTTTAAATATTAATTTTATATACAAATCCCAACACTTAAAACTGTATTTTTAAGAGAGAAGTAAGCTTGTTTCAGATATGCATATTATGTGTATCTATGTACATTTGTTTGGTGCATGAATGTTAAGTGTACAGATGCATAGATCCATGTATACACATGTGGAGATCAGAGGAAGAGTTGGGCATCTTCCTCAAACTCTCTTGAGACGGGATTTTTTACTGAATTAAAAGATCACAGTTTTTGCTAGGCTGGTTGGTCAATAAGCTCCTGAGGGTCACCTGTTCCTCCATCCCAATGTTTACTTTGGAGGAGGCATGCGTAGCCACGCCCAGTTGTTTATACAGGTGCGAAGGGGTCAAACTCATGTCCTCCCGCCCACACAGCGAGTGTTCTTATTCACTAGAGCTATCTCCCTGGGCCCTGAGAGGATCAGTCACATTTCCTGATGATGGCTTTTAAAAAGACTTGACAGAGGTGGGCAAGGAATAGCTGTTCCAGAGGGCTAGATCGAGACCAAGGTAAGATAATTAGCTTCTGGACCAACCTACAACATTCGAATCTCTCCACAGTACTTAAATTCTAGTCGGTCGATCTCCGTAGACACATCTTCATTTCAGGAGATTCTATTAACAGTTCTACCAGTTTTGTGCATGCTTTCTGGAATCTATTAACTTAGCAGAACACTAGCCTCCACCAATCCAAAAGCTCAGATAGCATCTTGGGCCTTTAGGAAAGTTTCCCTCCTCGCTGTATCTGCCTCTCTGATGCACCCACCAGCGTATTTCAAACTTGCCTTTATTTATGGCTTCCTTTGGTTTTGTAAAACTGTTGTAAAAAACTTCAGGAAACTGCTTCTGCATTGGAACATGGAATTCGGAGCAACCTAAATCTGTGTTCCTGGGCCATGGTTACTCAAAATGGCTCCAGAATATATATCTCTTACTCCCCTCTACCACCCAAAAAAGGATTCACTTCCTATTTTTGAGAGTCATGATTAACCAGAAATGATAGCACTGCAGTTTTGTTTTTCTAATGGCATTCAGAACTTGTAGAATGTGATTCTACTTAGATCAAAGTTCTTTCTGGTCCCTTTAAAAGCACTGTGAGGTTAAATGTTACTGTCACATGTGAATAAATTGCAAATTCCAAGCAAACGGTTCTTAGCACACACTTCAGTGTTGGTGGTGCTCTAATTGTCATGATGGGGAAGGCATGGAGGCCGAAGCCTGAGGCAGCTGGTTACACTGGTCACTACCAGCAGTCAGGAACTACAGAGCAGACAAGAACATGGCGCAGGCTATAAAACCTCAAGGCCCGCCCAGTGACTTCCTCCAGTAAGGTTGGGCCACCTAAAGGACCCCTAACCTTCTGCCAAAACACCCCCACTGGTGACAAAGTACTCAAACACATGAGTGTGTCGGGGACATTTCGCATCCCAAGCAAGGTAGCACTAACTGACTGAGAGTGACGGAGGGTGAGCACACTGATCAGAAGGATGACTCCTGTCCTCAGCAGGATAAAGCAGAATGGTGTGAGGGTTTCATCACACCTTTAAAGTGGCTCTCATTGAAAAGAAACTATTTATGGAATTTCCCACTTACTATTTTCAGACTGTGGCTGACTTTGGGTTGCTGGAACTGTGCAGAACAAAGCTGTGGGTAAGGCAGGCTGAGTGGGCCCTTCCACTGTGTAAAGTGACAGAAGTAGACACCGGAAAGATTGCTTTCACTGTTTCTCAGCTGTGCGTTTGTGGATGTCTTGCCTATTGCATATCTTAAAACAACCTCCCAAATTATACCCAATAAGGAATAATATCACCTCAAATTTTCAAATCAAAATATGCTGTTGAACAGTATTCTGTGAGCAACCTCCTAAGACCAAGGGCAAACACTACAGGAGCCAGGTGCATCTTTCTTTGATGAACTCTCCTCTGCTACTGCTCAGGACAATGCAGAGGGTTACTGTTCTGTATTGGGAAGAGTAGAACTGGCAGCAGACCGTGACAAGGCCTATGTACTGCAGAAGTACATATTAACAAAACCCAAACCAGCCAAAGTTTATGAGCCACACACTGTAAGACAGGGCTTGTATTAGCTAGGTACATTTAAATAAAATAAAATAAACCCCAGATTGTCAAATGCAATTGGAAATACACAGGGTCCCACACTTCTAAGCAGATTTAGAGTAAGGACTGTGTTCATTCAATTTTTCTTCATGGGAAAGAAACTGTCTCACAAGCATGCCTGGTGTTCACTCAGCTTAGACTCATTGCTCACTTTAGGATATGAAAATTCTTTCTGAATCCTGTAAGCCTAGTGACTTAGCTAGGTACTAAGTACCTCTGACCACTTCTGAACTTATTTTAGATAGTAGAGAATGTTATAGCGAGAGAGGCTTAAGGATGGATTCCTAGGCTAATCAGTAAATTAAGACAGGGGTTCATTAGTGTGATCAGTTAACATTTTCTGGCCCTGCCTGTGGAGCTGAGCTAGCATCCACACCCCACAGCACAATGGCAGTAATGGGAAATTTGCATTAGTTACTTTCAGTTGCTATGATAAAACATCATGACCACGGCAACTTATAGAAGGGTTTATTGAAGCTTACGGTTCCAGCGTTCCAGAGGGGCAAGAGTCCACCATGGAGAGGAGGCATGGCAGCAGGAGGCAAGCATGGCAGCGAAGCAGGAAGCTGAGAGAGGCATGCTCCCCTGCGAACATGAAGCAGAAAGAGAGGAAACTGGAAGCAGGTGAGGCTTTAAGCTCTCAAAGCCACCCTAAGGACACACTTCCTCCAGCAAAGCCTCACCTCTTACACCTTCTCAAACGGTGCTAACAACCAGGGACCAAGTGCTCACATACCACAGCCTGTGAGGGACATCTCTGACTGAAAACACCACAGAGTACAATACTGAAAGTGAGCAACAAAAATCCACATGGTATGTTACATATATGATTTCCATTCTCTCCAGAGCCCTCTGAGGTATGTGCTTTGTGAAAATGTCTATTCCTTAGTTGTTTATGTTGCCCAACTCCTGTGGTTTGAATGAAATGCTATTTTAATAAAAATTTCCTAATACTGGACTTCCATTTTCTGTTATAATTTACTCATACCAGCAGGTGGAAGATTGTTTCTGGCATTCCCAGCACACAACATACACATCTTACACTTACATTTTAACTTCTGTGATTTCTCTACTTGATTTTACATTATTCCCTGATAGTGCAAACATTTTTGTGGGATAAATAAAGGCCAGTCTATAATACCTTTCAGAATTTTATCCATTTCCAACTGTTTTTTTAAAACACCATACTTGTAATTTTAAAAATACACAAAATCTGATTTGCATTATGCTTAAGTGGGTTTGGGGTCCTCATAATTTCTGCCTCAAGTGCATAGGTTTCTTGAAATTAAGGTATTTATCACCTTTCAACCTCTAGTTGAAGTTGTCTGAATTTAATGGAACACTGGTTCCAAAATCCAAATAGTGCTTTCTTATAATGGGAAATCGTCATAGGCATGCATATCTGCTTAATAAAAATGGCTACTGTGAAATAAATAATTACTCACTGTGATGCTGAGATTTAATACAGAATTGGGTTTGAGAAGGTGAGCAGAAAGGCTTGGAAATTTCCCTGCACTGTCCCAACCACCTGGAACTGATGCTGGTTTGGACTTCTCATCTTGGATTAGATCTGGTTTTCACTCTAGCATTTTAGGACATATTAATGGTTCTGATGGTCTTGGGGCTTTTACAGAGCTGTGTCTTTTGGGCATTCAGTTGAAAAGAGGGTTTAACGAGGCTTTCCCTAACACCCAGGATCTAGTGACTCTTCTTTTTATCTACCACATAAGAGGTTATTAGTTAAATGTCTCTCTTAAATGGAATGTTAGCGTTTCCTGTGGAACAGGATAGCATTTAACCACACTTAACTTTACTGTTCTAGTTCTATACTCCACACACTATTACACAACGTGACTTAAGCATTCAGTAAGTGAATGAACCAGTAACATCTGCACACCTGCTAAAAGGTGGGCTGCTCCATTGGGTGTAACTTCTACCAGCCAAGCCAGGAATTTAAGACCCATCATACAGTTAGATTAAAATAAAATTGCAAGGCCAAACAACACAGTCTGGGCTAATGGATAAACGAAACTTGCTTAACTATATGCTTTGATAATAACGTCCAGAATTTAGCACAGACTCTGGCAGAAATAAGCAGATTAACTTGAGCATAAACTTTTCATCATGTGCTTGGCCCAAAGGCCTCAAGGGCAGTAATGCCATTTACGAGGTTAGTTGAGGCAGATGAATTGCAAGTTGAAAGGCTGCCTGCTCAATTGAGTGGGAGAATAATTACTCAGAATAAATAAATAAGAAAAAAAGAAGGCCGGGGATGCAGCTATGTGGTAGCATGCGTGCCCAGCCTGTAAGGGCCCTGGTTCCACAATACCTGGAAAATGGGCTGTTTGAGAGCTTTGAGCTCGCACGCAGAACACATTCGCACTGCGATGAACGTCACCTCCCTGTCGGGGAAGCGCTCAAAATGTCCACCAAGGCCATTTTCATAACAAAATGGGCACGTAAAAGCCGGGCGCGCAAAAGCCCACAAATGCTTTCCCTGCTAGCTAGAAGCTCGCAACTTCCAGTTTGTTTCTAGCGCCAAGGGACCCGGAAACCCTGTTGCGAGACTGACACGGGCGTCGTCCAATGGCAGGGCACGCTAAGGCGGGCCCTCGCGCGCACGCCCAATCGGTGAGCTCCTTGGAGCGGCGGGGCGGAAGCTGCCACCATGGAGCCGCTAGTGCAACAGATGGAGTGCTTCTCCGAGGTGCTGGCCGTGTCGTGTGGGGCGGTGGTGCGCTCCTGGGATGCGACGACCGTGCGTAGGGCGCTGCAGTGGGCGCGCTACCTGCTCCACGTGTACCGACGCTTCGCGGACCGCGGACGCGCGCGGGAGGCGCTAGAGAGGCGGCTCCGGTCGCGGGGCGGGCCGCCCGGGCTGCGCAGCTTCGCGGCGCTGGAGTTTGGGGACGCGCGCCTTGCCCTACGCCTGCTGAGGAACCGCGCGCTCGCGCCCGCCGCCGCCCACGCGCTGCCGAGCCTGCTGTTCCCCGGCCCCGCCGCCGACAGAGAGGACGACGCGCCCCAGTCGCGCTTGGCGCTCCTGGCGCGCCGCGGAAGCGCGCTGCACCTGCTGCTCCGCCTCGGCGGGGACGCGCCCAGGGCCGCGCTGCTGCGCACGCACGCGGAGCTGCTGTGCACGCTCCTGCACGAACTGGGCGGTGCTGACCCCACGGCCCGGCGGAAGCTCCTCGATGCGCTGTGGGCGCGTGGGCCTCGGGAGCACGTGCTAAGCGTGGCGGGCGAAGCGCTGCTGCGCGACGCAGACCTGCAGCCTGCGCACGCCGCAGACTCTGCGGGTGCGGATGAGACACAGGAACTGCTGCAGTGGCTTCTAGAAAGCCCCGAGGTCTTGATCGCTTTCTGCCGCCAGCTGCCCGCCATGCGCCTGGCCTCCTTGGCGGGCCGCCACCCAGCGCTGTCTCGCGCCTACCTGGGCCTGCTCACAACCTGGGCCACGCAGCTGCACTATGACCTGCCCAAGGGCTCCTGGGTCCCCACGCAGCCTGAGGACATGCCCTGGGACGAGTTGTGCCTCCGGCTGCAGAGCCTGTGCCAGGCCCCACCACCCCTGCAGGAAGACGTACTGGAGACTCTGCGCTCCAGCAAGGCGCTGGATGGAGATTTCGAGGTTCCCGGGATGAGCATCTGGACGGACCTACTGCGGGCCCTGCCTGGTGGTGCTTGATACTGAGTGTGGGAACATGTGGGAAGAGGTTCTTAAGTCCCAGGCCGAGCATCTGGACACACCTACCTCAGGGAGGCATAGAGGGCACAACATACTTCTTACCCTAGCCTCTACTCTATGCCCAGTGTCCTGCTGCTGCTTAACGATACACTTTACAAAATGTCAGCATTCTCACCAATGCCCTGTACTACATGGTCCCAAAACCTAATTATTTAGATGCCAACTTTAAGTGGTTCGTAATACAAATACAAATATTTTTTTAAAGTGATGTATGATGCCTTGAGTTTTCTAGATACTGGAAATAGTGTTATTTCCATTCTGGTGGTGGATCCAAGATCTTGCCCTTGTTAGGCAAGTGCTCTACCACTGAGCTACCCTTGGAAGAATTCTTCAAGCCATGGAATTTTCAGCTTGTTTTGTATAAGGCTAATTTGTAAGAATAGTAAAAATAGATACACTTTTTAAAAGAAAAGGCAGCTTTAAATTTTCCACGGCCACGTTTTTGTCTGATTGATTTACTTGTTTCCTGACATTCTCTTCACTTTACTAGTGAAAAGTTTTGTTTAACCAGAAACACGTGGTAGCATCAAATGTTAGTTTCAAGGCTGACTGGGCTATAGTTAGATGTGCCTTCCTTAACCTGTTTACCGACCTTCACGTGCATTAAAGCTGTGTTGTTCAGAAAGTTTTGTCCCTCTTGTACAAGTCACTGCTCTCAAGGTCAGAATGACAGGATATTGGCTTAAAGCATTTCTTGAGTACACACCGAAGTGTTTAGAGCACAGTAAATGTAAATATATCCTTTTGGGTATTTGGATTGGTTAATAAAGGAATCAGACTAGTGAGTTTGGGAATCGAGGCTGTTGGTTTTAATGCGGCAGCACAATGTTATTCATTAAGTGGCGCTGTTACCGGGGGAGAAAAGCAACAAGGTTCGACAAAACCCACTCTAAGAGTTTTATTAGGAGAAGGGAGAGACAGAAGAGAACGGGACCAGGCCTGTGGAAGACATGCATAGAGTGGGGGGGAGGAATCTGTGATCTGCTTCTTATGGATTCCTCTGCACATGCGCATATGGGCTTACCGAGTTGTAAGATGTGCATAGATTGCGTAATCGTGCTGTGCCAAATTACACGATCACGATCACGCAACGCACGGATTATGCAGGACATAAGGCCCCTTACTTGGCTACTAAACTGCGCATGTGCGGTCATGTAGCTGGGGGAGTGGCCAGGAATTCCAACAGAGGCCACTTAAGCCATTTATCAGGTTAATAGCACCAACGTGGTGCCATCACTAAGGTGTTTAAATATTTGACTCAGGTTTTCCTCGTGTTTGCTGGATGGAGACTATTTGGAGTGTTTTGTGACTAAAAACCCAACTTCATTTGTCTGCTTGAATGTTCTAAACTTAAAAATAAGTATTTTTTTTTTTAGTAAATAACTTTCCAGGGGTCAACATAACTCTCCATGTCCAAGATAACTGAGAGTAAGAGTTTTTGGTAAATAGGCATAACACAAAATTCTTAATTCTAGAAATGGAAATAGAGCAAAAGGACATATAATGTAGATTTTTAATTCTGCGTTAGAACCTGAGTATACATTATGACCTAAGTACTTTCTAAGATATAACGCAATATCAGATTTTTATTTCCCTGTGCTCAGATTCCTTTTTCTAACACTGATCTCTGTAAACCTTCTTTTACATCTGTATTCTGACAGGATTCCTTTGTGCACTTACACAGGAGCGACAGCCATGTTTTCAGCGTTTTTAGACATTTTCTTACTCATTTCTATTCCAATCACTCATCAAGGTATACATTTTCCTTTTTCTCCTGGATCCCTGGCAGCATTTATTATTATTTTTTTTAATGAAGTTAGTCAGTATCTGAATTCTATTTCGATGTTTTAGGGTCTCTGTAGCCCAGTTAGCCTGGAACTCACTGTCTGCGTATGCTAGGCTCAGGCTCCTGCAGGATTCTCCTGCCTCAGCCTCTAAATGCTGAGATTGTAGGTGTGAACCAGCACATATAGCTAAATCTGTGTGTCTGTTTCCATGGCTTTGAAATTTTAATTCTGTTGCCTCTCACTCGTAGCATATTTTCTGCTGCTTTACTTTTGTTACAGATGAAAACTTAGTTTCATATCGTAAAGTGCATCTTGATTCACTTACACTTTTATCAGTTCCATTTCAGATGATTGTGTGAGTTCCAAGATTGTGTTTCCATTCATTTACTTACTGGTTTTTGTTTATTTGTCTTGATTTTAGGATTCTTTTGGGAAACACCTCATGGTGATAAACATTTTAATGTGTATCTACAAATGCTTGCCTGGCTCATGTTTGAAGGTGGTTTTGCCGTGCATGTGATTTTCAGTTAACAATCAGTACGTCAGTTCACTCGTCTCTCTTTCCTTATTGGCAGAGAAGGGAGTCCTCAGGCTGCAGTTCCTTTGTTAGTGGAGTTTTTTCTATTTTAAAGTGATCCTTGGTTCAATATCTGCATCCCCGCCACTTTCTCTCTGTTCCTAATGTCCCTAATCTTGCCTGTGACTGGTTGGGCCTATACTAGAAGGTTTATACTATCCATACCCTAAGCTGTTTCCTGGCTGTCTCCATGTCAGTTTGTGCTGCTGTGGAAACTGCTGGTCTCCTATGACCCATTTCTCCCTACTGATATTCTGCCCCAGTTTTTACCTGCAAATGACTACCCAGCCTTGGGGGCAAATTTTCCCAACTCCATTGCAGTTACACTGGTTTGGGGCACCGTGTGAGTAAGCAGAACTAGAACCTACATCACATTTTCCCTTTTAATGGGCTGACATCAGTGTGCTGCAGTGAGTTACCTGGGACCAGGGCTGGAGAGGTTGAAGGGATCACCTGCCTAGCTACTATGAGGGAAGAAATATGTTTCTCTTTCTATATGCCTCTCTTTTTATTCAAATGATTGTTTTGGGATGTGGGTACCTATCTATGTTATATCAGCAATGCCTATGTTACTAAATAGTATTGGCAAGGCCTTGGCAATTCAAAGCCTTGATATTTACATTTAAATATCCCTTGTCCAAAATTTCATTTGGCTTCCTTCCTCTAAAATTGCCTGGCATGTACTCTTATATATGTGACATATCTCACATACTTTTTTATGATTCCAGGATTAGTTTCTAGCATTGTTTTTTATTTGAGATTTACTTTATCTTTAAATGTGTGTATATGTGTGTCTGCATGTGGATATTTGCATGTTAGTTTAGATACCCTTAGAGGTCAGAAAGGAGCATCATATCACCTAGAGCTGGATGTACAGGTAGTTGTGAACAGTCCAGTGTGGGTCCTCTGCAAGAGCAGCAGATGCTCTTAACCACTGAGCCATTAGCCACTCATCATTTTTTATAGTTTGCATTGCATTTCAGAGCCTGAAGTCCCTTAAGAGGAGATCAAACCTTGCTGTGTTGATGGGACTTTTTGTTTGTGTGTTTTGTAGTGTTTTTGTTTTGACTTTGTTTTGTTTTGGATTTTTTTGAACTGATATTCTTGGGTTGTGCATCTTGGTTGTCTCCTTGATTGGATCTGTAATCAGCTAAGAGATTGGCCTCTGGAGAGGTCTGAAAGGTATTCCCTGGGAAGATTAACTCAAGGAGAAGACCCCCATATACACCCAGTATCCTTCCAACTGCCCAGGTATGTGGAGATCAGAAGAGAAGAGAAAGCAATTGCTTTTTGCTGGCTGCCTTGACCCTTGCTTGTGAGTACATACACTCTGTATGTGTCTCTCTGGACAACATACTCAGTGAAAACAAGACCACTTCTGACTTGTTTCTCCTTGAGCAGCCAGAACCACGCCCCCCCCCCCCCCCCCCCCCCCCCCCCCCAGGCTGCAGCGGACACTCACAAGTAGCTAATCACTATGCTTGCCTGAATGGAAATAGGGCAAAGATTTGGTGACAGCATTATCACCAGGGTCATCTGTCTAAGAAGTGTAAACCATTTTAGAAGTGATTCAGGTAGAATGAATCTGAACAAGAATCAATTCCAATACATAGTGACTTTCTCAGATTTCAACCCAGCAGCCTTAAACGCTTCCCAGAGTTATTTTACTGCTTCAGAGTTGAATCTATGTTCATCCATGCCATGATTATGTCTGAGGGTAGCCTGGGCTACATAGTGCGTTCAGGCCAGTCAGGGATGAGTCCCAGGCCAGTCTGAGCTGCTTATGAAATTCAGGCTAGCCTGGGCCATAGTATAAGATCCATGACCTCCCCTCAAAAAGGCTTTTTTTTTTTTCTCACTCTCATGCTTTTGCTTCATGCTGTGTGCTGAAGTTCAAAAGTAGAAACAGGTTATAAACAGAGTGATCCCTCTCCAAACATTGTGCATATAAGATAGTCATTATTGACACAGTTAATTGATGTAAACACTCTAAGAAGCAACCATTGATTTTTCTGCAGATTTAATTGGAAATGATCAATTACTCTATCCAAAGTGTGGCACCACCTCATTTATCAGATGCTCATTGCCCTAGTGGGCTAAGGGTGCCCTTTTGACTTCGTCATGTCCGGCCCTAAGGGAAGGAGCTTAAATCATTACAGTGATGGCTGGCTCCAGCTGGCTCCGGGAGCTTCATTGCTCTTCATACTGCCGTTAGGTTTCGAGTTAAAAGGGGCTTACCGTGTCTGAAGTCCCACTGTGGTTGTGTCACTGCCTTTTCACACAGTGAGTGATCTGAGCCCCACCCTGAGACAAGTTCCACATGCTGTGACTTTCACGTCCAAAGGACACTCCAAAAGGCAGTCCAAATATCCACAAACGACTTCTCAGAAATGGGAGCTGATTTCGTAAGTTCCTGAGGAATCCTGGCTTTTCTCTACCCACTGAGAATGCTCCTATAGTGTAGGTTGAGTTCATTTCTGGATATATGGAACTTTGGAGTTTAGGGAATTGGGGTGTCCTTTGGATCTGACTAATCGCAGGGTTATAGCATGAAAACCGAGTTTACATTTTATGTTTACTTATGATACGAAGACTCTGTTGAACTCTGAATATCATCTGTGGTAACCTGTAGATCCTAGGGTTTTAATTTGAATTGGCTTCTACACAATATTAAAAGACAACTTGTTCCAAAGGCAAATTCTTGTCTGTGTTTATCACAATACCCTTTATGACCCTTCACTTCTACATTCAAGTGGCAATATTTTATTCATCTGGTAAGCACTCTGTCACTCTGTTGTTGAGATTTAATGTGCTAAAAATTATTATTAATTATTAAAAATCAAGTTTCCATAATAAACTATTTTTGTGTTTTAAAGTGATCTTGCTGGGTTGCCCAGGCTGACCTTGATCTCAGGGTTTCTTGGCTCTGTCTCCACAGCAGTGGAGATTACAGATGTGTGCTGCCATGCCTTGCTTATGATTTATCTATATTTATATTATGAGATAATTGTCTCATATTTTTAAAGACTATAGAGAAAGTAGAATGTAAAGAACAGGTTGTCTCATATTTTTAAAGACTATAGAGAAAGTAGAATGTAAAGAACAGGTTTATTTTAGGTAAATACTAGGTTTGTTCATTCCTGAGCCTGCTCAAAGCTCTCTCAGACTTGGACGGCTGCTGAAATATTCATTGTTGTACTGAGCTTTTGACATAATATCAATAACTTTGGTAAGATATTCCATGCGAGGCTATGCATATACTTAGAATATTGACACAGTGCCCTCAGGGATATCAGCTTGTGTGCTGTTAGCTTTCAGTGGATGTAGATGTAACCATGGGAGAAAATGGCCAGATTTCTTTGTAAGTCCCAGACACATTCAGTACCCTAAAAATCTCTGATGTTAGTTTTTAAATTGGCCTCACCAATGT